ATCAGCCATAGCCTCTAACATACCAATGAACCAAGCAAAGCCTTGTTGACTGCTGCCAAGAACGCTTTACTAGCTAAATGCTAAATAAATAATAATATTTATAAATTTATATTTTAGGCCAACTGCACGTTACTTTGATTGCCAATTCCTAATGCTGTCTCTTATACACATCTAGATGTGATTTTGTGTAATACTTTCATGTTGCACAGCGCGTTGTAAGGCGTCACAGCGCGTCGCTACAGGAGGCGATCGCTTCATGAAAAAAATCTCCCTATTTTTTGGTTTTCAAACTTGGGATCTCTGCAATGTTCACATTTTGGCACTTCTGATCAAAGAATTTTCCTAATACAATAACATCAATAACAAACAGGGATAAAATGGTAATTCAAAATCCAAAGCACCAAATGAGGGAATAATGCAAATAATTGACAAGAAACATGGATTTCTTATAATTTAACTACGTTTATTTGAATTTTCAAGTAAAATAATCTTTACAGTTGTCCAAATTTCAAAAAACCTACAAAAAATGTATACTTATGAAACGCTATTATAGTTCACAAATCAGTATCTAAACTGCTTCTATTAATGAAACTATGTAACGGTTAAACAATTTACTAAATTCAGGCAAAATATACAGTAGGGTTTTTTAATTCCAGGCAATGGCTTTTGTTACACAAGTCCTAAATGAATTCCTAAATCTGATTGGAGGTTATGAATTAGGACAACATCCAAGCAGAATTAGGAGAAAATAGAACAGACCCTTCTGCTCAGTGGCACAAGAGTTTCGACTATAAGTCTTTATCAAGCTATGAAATAAAACATGGTAAGATAGAATTAAATACATAACAGAAGCTCAAGAAGAGGCTTATGGTTAACCAATGGGATTGCAGAACGCAGATTAACCAATGGATGACTATAATAAAACAAAGAAACAATACAAAACGTGTAATGAAAAGCCTAAGAACAATGGAAAATTAACAATGACAAGATTGGGTGGAGTTAATTAAGGCATGGTAAACCAAGCCAAAGCCAAGTAAGATAGATCTGATAATATAGTAATACGATAGAAGGCCTAATAATAATTAAATTAAGTAAAATAAAATAAATACATAGTTTCATCCATGCCGACATTCCGGTCGGTTAGTGTGAGCCCTGACTGAACTCTGCAGAAACTTCACATCGATCTTCGCATCGCGATGTAAAACAAAATGTCGGAAAACTTTTCTTTGACGAATGCGCATTTGCATAAATGTCTACACACACACACACATACACACTACACACAATAAAAAACATAGGAAATAGCAAGAGTGATTACAATAGTTCCTATTGCATTACATGCATATAGGAACTAAAAATGTTTAGAACACCGAGGTACACATTAGCTTGAGCTGTAAACAGTAGTTAATCATAAAGGTTTTACAATATTCAACAAAATGAGCAGATAGTAAAATCCTACTCAAATTATACTTGCTTTGAATAGGTCATCCACTGCATTTGTAGGATATTGGTAGCTCCAAACAGGTATGTTGTTGAATAAGTGTAAGAAAGTTGAAATACACACCGAAGGAACATACAACTGTTCTGTTCGGTAGCTAACTAGTGACTAATTTATTCAATATACCGTACACAATATTAACAAACAGCATAATGACTTTCTGTTTGGTAGAGGGTGAGAGCAGCTTAGCTCAGTCAGCTAATCTGGTGGTAGCCACTGTGTGTGCGCTGAACCGTGGAGATCTCTAGGTCCACGGTTCAATTCCCATCGTTGCCTCCGCTTGTATTTCAGCTGGAGGGCTGGATTTCAAGTTATAATAGCGCACCGTCTTTCGGATGAGACGTTTAAGCCGTTGGTCCTGTGTGCATTGATGGCCCATGTGCACGTTAAGGAACGCAGTACACTCTTCGGAAAGAGTAGAGGATTGTCTCCCGGTGTACTGCCCAATCACCACCAGAAGGACCCCACTGGAAAAAAATCTTCTAGACTTTCGTGGGCTATCCTTGGTGTTTACATCAAATAAATCCAATCTAATCGAATCGATTATATCTAGTAGCCTTTATGCACTTGTCAATTGTACTTGTAGTTCTCGGGGCCCCCCTCCCCAGACCCGGGCCATAGCGAGGCACTAGCCAGGACTGAGCCGGGATGTACACATAGTTGTGTCCCTGTAGTGCCAGGACGTACCTAAAATTTACCCGGAAGGCGAGGGAATTTTACATGTTAGAGTAGCCGCAGTTTCGGGTGTGTTCGGTGGTAAGTGGCAGGGAATTAGCTAAAACGATGCCCCGCATTGCCGGGAGGTGGCCGGATCTTTCACATGCATGTAACTGTTTTGAAAATTACATCCCTGGCTAAGTTCCCGCTAGGCCCGGGTCCGGGGGATAAGGGGGGGGGGCAGAGCTACAATTGACAAGTGCATTACTTCATTATCCCAAGTACTTAGATGTCATTTTTTAGTAGAGCCCTGGCTGTAGAAGATTTTGGGTCAATAATTAATAATGTTTAAAAGAATTGTTGTCATTTGAGTCCACTTAGGACACTCATGAGTTAAAAATGTGGTATTGCATTGTTTTAATTTGCTAGTTTTGCATTTCTTCTACTGAACTATGTCAAGGCTTATAGGGAGTGTCCTCCGGGGGACACTTTGCCTTTACGTCCTCGAAATAACTAGCATGGCGATTTATGAAAACTTTTGAGGGCACTGGAACACTTACTGAAACTAATAAGGCACCCAAATGTATGGCACTGAGGCAATGAGGAAAATGGCAAAAAACCAAAACGGCAATAAGTCAAAACGGCAAGACCAATAATTTGTGTATTTTGATGATAGAAAATCCTGCAAAATTTCCAAAATGTAGAATTTCACTTTCAAGAATGAGGTTTGAAAATAAATTAGATGGTTAAATTGCATACTCTTTGTTTGTTGTTTTATTAAAAATATTTTGGTTTTGGAAGCTAATTTCGACATTAGAAAATATAACCTACATGAAGTTATAGTAACAGTTGTAACTTCAAAATGCAGACAAAGTAAGGCTATGTCATAAAAGTAAAAATGCGCGAAAGAAAAAAAAATAACACTTTAAAGAAGAAGAGGAAAGAACAACAACAATAATAATAATAATGATATTATTATAATTATTATTATTATTAATAATAATAATAATGGTAATGGTGGGATATTTGTAGTGCGCCTTCCACAATAAAATCGTCTCAAGGCGCCGAAAAAAGGCAGGACCAGAATATTTTTTTAATTTTAATTATTATAAGTTAAATAAATATAAATAAATGAATAAAGTAAATAAACAAATAGAAAATAAATAAATATATAAATAAATAATTGATAAATTAAGCCTTCAAAAACAGGCAGACAAAAGAATGGAAAAAACCAAGCAGCAACATGAAAAATGCGCACTCCTGTTGTTGAGACGGCGTCACCACCACTACCGCGTACAGACGCAGGTACTCCGGCGACAGTATGCTGGGCTCCGGTAGCTTCCACCTTGGATAAGCCTCGGCTCTACTACCGTGCACTGCTAAGGTGGCGACGCCGGCTCAAGTAAGGGAGTTGCGACTTTAATGAACAAAAAACAAAACACTTAAATACAGTACTCTTAAACTACAAAAATTGTAAAAAGATAAACTTAAAAAAGGTGGGTTTTAAGTTTCTTCTTAAATGTATGAACGGAAGTTGATTCACGGATAGAGTCTTGGTGCAGCGACAGAAAAAGTTTTGAGTCGCGATGCTGGAACGGATAGTATGAATCTATTGGTCGTTGATCTCATAGACCTACTACAAGTTACAGAACGTGACGTTAGAAGTTGAGAAATGTATTCAGGTGTCTTTTTGTGCAGGGCTTTGTACGTAATGAGCAGAATCTTGAATGTGATGCGCTTGTCAATTGGTAACCAGTGTAGATGATGGAGACAGGTGAAATATGTTCACGCCTGGAAACTCCAGAGACTAAACGAGCTGCCGTGTTAAGGCATAGCTGTAGTCTATTTAAACGACAGGCGGGAAGACCATACAGAATTGCATTGCAATAATCTAGCCGTGATGTTGTAAGTGCATGAACTAACTTCAGAAGAGCATTTTTTGTTAGGAACTTTTGAATATGCTTGATGTTGCGCAGATGATATGAAACCGATTTACAAACGGTGTATATGTGTTTTTCCATCTTCATTATAGGATCAAAAACAACCCCTATATTACGGACTTTGGAAGATGGTAGGACATTGGTGTTACCAACTACAACACAATTAATCGGAGGTGGTCTTCTAAGGTACTTTGAATGAAAATAGAGAACTTCTGTCTTACAAGGATTAAAGAAGAGCATGTTTTGTGACAACCAGGACTGAACATCACAAACACATGCTTCAATGGTTTTCTTGGCTTCAGACCAGTGGTTGACATGGAAGCTAAGATAGAGTTGAGTGTCATCGGCGTAGGCATGATATCGAACGCCATGACTGCTAATGATTTTGCTCAAAGGAGAGACGTAAATAAGAAATAAAATGGGCCCGAGAATTGACCTCTGAGGGACACCACTCTCTACATTAATGCACGCTGAAGAGCTATTTCTAATGTAAGATAAGATGTGAACCATGTAAGAACAGATCCACCAATTCCAAGAGATGCAAGTCTGTGAATGAGTATTTTGTGATCAATCGTGTCAAAAGCAGAACTTAGATCTAAAAAAACAGCCAGAATACAAAAACCTTTATCAAGGTCAACCATTATATCGTTGTGGATTTTAACAACTGCTGTCTCAGTTATGTAACATTTTCTATAGGCCGATTGTAGAGGATCAAACAGATTATTTACATCAAGAAAATTAATAATTTGATTTGCCACACATTTCTCAAGAAGTTGTCGACGGTTTTGAAATTAGTAACTTTACAGAACTAGAAGAAAATGAAAATATTTAACATTGTAAAAACAGTTTCATATTTTATTGTGAAAGTATGTGTTAAATGCTTGTGCTAATTCAACATCAGAGGGTGTGGACGGTAAGAGAGTTCCTTTACTTTTACCGCGAAGTGTGTTCATTAAAGAAAACAACAGCCGTTGGTCACTTCCACATTTCTCGACTTGAGATTGAAAGTAGGCAGTTTTTGTATTGGTTAAAACAGAGTGATATTTTGCCCATTGCTTCTTGAAAGCTGTTTTATCAACAGAATCACAAGACTTGATCCATTTACGCTTTATAATAATAACAACAACAATAATAACAATAATAATAACATACAATACAATTCAATAGTAAAAAACTGTAATAAAAGCAGTGTACATTTAAATAATTACAACCTTAAAATACAGATAAAATTAGGCTAAACAATATTATGCCATGAACGTGTAAAAACGAGGAAAAAAATAATAATATATAACACTTTAATATAATATAAAAAAACATACTAACAAAAAACAAAACACGATTCAGAAAATTATAAACTGCTGCCCGCACCCGGTGGCGTTTCATTCTTGGCATTGATTTTGCACCTTTGCCGTTTTGGTCTATGCCTATTGCCGTTTTGGTCTATTGCCGTTTTGGTACTGTTTATTGCCGTTTTGGTCGTTGCCGTTTTGGTTTTTTGCCGTTTTGACCTGCTCCCAATCAGTCAAAGCACCTGCAAGAACAAAACATTAAAAATGGATAAATGCACATGTAATGTAAAATCCTTCCATGCAACACCTTCAAATTTATCTTGTGTCTCTTTGACACATTGTAAAAACTTATTCATACAAGTAAAAGTGATATTGTTTTACAAAAATGATATCTATAAAACTAGAAATTGCAAATGAAGTGCTGCGAAGTACAACTGCATATAAATGTTCTTCGAACAAAATTATTTATGCGAGTCAAGTGAAAATAATGAATAATAAAAATATAACAAATAATATGAGACACGACCCATTGTCTATATTAGAACACTTCTCATTGGGTAACAAAGTCATAATTTTTCATTTTTGTCAAAAAGTGGTGAATTATGGTTTAGGTTTTTTATTTTAGGTAAGTTTCAAAAATTTCTATGTATGTGGAAAATGTAGTTAATTACCAAAGGTTACAATTTTTATTTTGAAGACTGCATGGTCTAGGAAGTGTACATTTTTTTATGGGGCAAGTTTCCAAGGGCAAGTTTTCTAGGGGCGAGTTGACTGCCAAAGTGCGAGCCAGCGTGTTATTTGATCGAATTCGATCCAACTCGGCCACAAGTCAACTCGGCCACAGTCAACTCGGCCACAAGTTAACTCGGCCACAAGTTAACTCGGCCACAAGTCAACTCGGCCACAAAAAGTTTGGCTACAGTCAACTCGGCCACAAAAAGTTTGGCTACAAGTCATCTCGGCCACAAATCAACTCGGCCACAAGTCAACTCGGCCACAAGTCATTTACTGGTACTACATTGTACTAATTGTTATTATTATTGCTGTTATTATTGTTGTCATTGTTGTTATTATTGTTGTTGTTTTTATTACCGTTAGTTTTAATATTAATTATTAGTCTTAGCATTAACATTATATATTGTTCAAATTTTTGCTGATATTATGATTATTACATATATATATAGTACATATATTTATAGTACCATATAAATAATAAATAATTTTCGATTTTTTATTATCATTATTCATATTATTATTATTATTTATTAGTCTTAGTATTATAATTTTAATAATAGTAATTTAAAAAGTTGTTGTTATTGGCATTTTATTAGTATTTTTCTCATATTATTATAAATATTATTGTTGTTGCTGTCACCTTTATTATCGATATTATTACCCTATTATTACTAAGTAGGCCTAGTATTATAAGTATCATTATTATTATTATTACTAATTAGTATTACTATTATTATAAAAATAAACATTATTATCTTTAATTTATTATTGTATTATTGCTATTATCACCTTCAATATCGTTATTATCACTAATTAGTTATTAAAATTGATATTTAAATATCGTTATTATTACCATACTAGTATTATTACTATTTGTAAATTATTATTAAAATTAGTAATATTTACATTAATAATACTAATTAGTCATTATGACGATAATAAATGTGATAATAACAACAACATTATTAATAGTAATATTTATTTTATCACATTATCGTCATAATGACTAATTAGTACTAATAATGTAAATATTACTAATTTATTGTCGTTATTGTTGTTTAATATTATTGTTGAAGTAGAATGTTGTGAGTAAACAGAAGACGAACACATTAATAAATAACTCTTTTTAATTCATAGGCAATAGCATTCAAATCTCTTTTGGTAGTGTGGTGGTCCTGTTTTACTAAAACATACTGTGTACTTTATTTCAATCATATATTGAAGAAAAAAGATGCAAAAACTTAAATTTACATTAAATAACTTGTGGCCGAGTTGGCAGAAGCCGAGTTGATTTGTGGCCGAGTTGACTTGTGGCCGAGTTGACTTGTGGCCGAGTTGACCTGCACCCATTTGATCAGTACAGTGCGTGACATCGCAAGTGTGAGCCAGCGAGCCATAACGTCACGACAATAGATACGAGACGTTACTCGAGTTGTGCGAGGTATCGGCTGAGATTTGTGGAGTACAATTCAAAAAACAACTATAGGTCTAATAATGAATTATTGTGATGTTAAATAGACAATGTCAATGTTAGCTATCAAGGAGCGACGTTGTTTTTCATTGGGACCTTCGTCCCTTCAAGGCTAGGCCTATATACCATCCTAGCTAGTCTAGGCCTAGAGTAGGATAAGGCTAGCGCGACATGCGGACGTTGGTGCTGTACGTGTTGGTTAGTCTACAAACGTTAAACGTTAGTTTACCCGGCAGAACGAAAGGAAACGCCGCTTTTCAGTCGTCTTAGGCCCTTGTTTTTGACAAACAATGACCTTTCAGAGGTCAAATTGCTGTCAAGAATATGAATTGGCTGCTTTGCAGCAATTATCTATGATCAAAATTTGAAGACCAAATGATTAGACAAAATTCAAAACAAATCTTACACTCAACAAATTGGTTGAATTCTTATAAAAGAGAGCTGCTGTAATTAATGGTTAAGGTGCCCTCTTTATATAATCTTTTGGATACGAGTAGAGCACTCAGGATTGTTTGATCAAGATTGAAATAAAAATAAGTCCTCTCATTAGAGCAAACATTGTTCCATTTGATCTTTCTGTTAGATAAAAAAAAAGGAATTTTAAAATCAATGTTTATACCTGCAAAATATACCTCTGGTTTCAGCTTACAAGCTACAGTAATTTTCCAGCAGTTGACATATTAGGGCAACTTGATTCGTCGTAACTGATTGTTTTTGCAGCAATGTTGTCAACATATACATGCAATCATCTGTCATTTTACTTCAATTTTATGATTCAAGCTCTTGACATGGAATGTTAAGATATAAAAAAATTAAAGTTTCTCCTTAAAACTTGTTAGTTTGAAGATTGAATTGATTGTAGCTCTGTAAGACATAAGAATACATTAAATAAAATTTAATAAATAACAAAAAAAAAAACTAAAATAATAACTTACTAAATTTTTTAATAAACCAAAATGGCCCATCTGAAAACCATTAAAAATGAGAATTACCATCTCGCAGTGCTTTCCATGGAAACTGGTTTTCAAGTTTTTTTAATATATCAATGAAATCCTTCATATCTCCATTGATGATTACAAGTCTGTTTTCAAGATCAGCGATCATACTCCAGCTGTCAGTATAATGCTTAAGAGGGATATTATACAATCCATCGATTTCTGTCACATCGCGTGGAGTCAGAGCCATCCCACATTTCATTAGCTTTTGTCTGTGAATTGTGAATTTTTCTGAAATGGTTCCTTCCTTAACATCTGGGAATGATGGTAGTATTTCTTGAATCTTCCGTTGAAGAACAAAATGTTTGGTTATGCTGATGGTATCACACAGCAGAGCAAGATTGTTTACATGCAAATGGTCACGTTTAACCAATTCATTCAGCAAGTCCATTGTGTTAATTATTCTTGATAGTTTGCCATTGTCCACATGATCTCTGAACAACACTTTTAACATAGTAAGACAATTGTTGGAATCATACCACTTCGACACAACACTTTTAAGAACATTGAATTGCTTCGCTTTCTTTCCTTTGAAACAAATAGAAATTAACATATTGATTCATATACCATATTATATTTACATATGAATGAAGAAAATTGAAATGTAACAAAAAAACAAAAAAAGAAATTTAAAAAGAAAAGATATAAGGAAGGAGAAAGAGAATGGGATATGAAGAAGAATGAAAAAAAAAATGAAAAGCATAACAAAAAATTAAAATAAAAAGAAAACAAATAAAGAACATGTGAAGAGGTTTAAGCTAAGCTTATTTATCAAAACAATGTAAATTCATTTTTTTCTCATTTTTTATGTTTTTTTTCTTCTTCTTATCGAAAAAAAATACAAAACAGAAAATATAAATGAAGGAAGAAAAATTATTTAAATATAAGAAAATGATGAAAAAAAAGAAGAAAAAAACATGCATAGAAAATTTAAATTACAAAGAGAAAGTTAACAAATTATAAACATGTGGAGAAGGTTCTAAGCCAAGCCTATTGCAGAGACAATGAGTGTAAACTCATTTTTTTTCTCACTTCTATCAAATTCTTTCACAAATTTACAGTTTTAATTGTATACCAGAATAACGTATAAGAGAAATATTAAATAATATTTATAATTTTCTGTTTTTGTATTTTTTACAAATAATGTATGTTTATTTTTTTGTATGATGAGTATGTTCCTTATTTCTATTTTCAGTTTTTGGAAGTTATAATGAGTACAAAGTGAAATGTAACAAATAAAACAAGAAATATTTCTTATAAAAAAACGCCGCAACTTCTGTAGCTTATTCAGTTTGTGTATACAGCTACTTAACTTATATGGAAAACTTTATCGTATCTGAGTTGCCACGCCCCCACACACGCTGTTAAGCACAAGAACAGACCCTAGAATATTGCACACGGATGGCCAAATTCTGGCACTGTTGTCCAATACAGTAACTTTTCCTATGGGTTTGCACAGAGTTTGAAAGTAAATTTTATCTACTTTCGAATGATATTGATACTAAATTAAAAAAATGCATTCTGTTCATTGTAGAATAGGAAATGGCCATGATTTGTGTAGATTTAGAAGAGGTCACCTCACTAAATCAAGCCTCAGACAAAAAGCAGATGAGATGTCAAAAAGGTTCGGCCATAATAATATAGTGTATTAAATACCCTTTCATGTAATACGAAACTCGACATGATTGGTTTAGGTCCTAATTACACACTTTTGCTTCTAAAAATAGGTGTATTTTTCGCAAACAATCTTTCCCGAGGACACCGTCCATTCATTAAGAGGGGAGTATGTTTAAGATTCCTGAGGTTAAGAAAAAACCTCCGGGAATATTATCGCATTATCCAGTGTGACTGCATATTGCATTTAAATATGACTATAAAATCAATTGCAATGCACTCATTAAAGTAGATTATCATAAAGATCTTGGTATATTTATTGATTCAAGGTTAACGTTTACTTATCATATTAATTTTATTACGGCGAGGGCCAACAGAGTCTTGTGAATGATGTGGCGCAATTGTAGATTTTTGATATTCCTACAAAATGTTTTCTTTATCTCACACTGGTTAGACCATCTTTAGATTTCTGTTCTGTCATTTTTAATTCAATATCTAAAAGTAACTCTAAACAAATCGACAGGATACACTTTAGGTTCTTGCGCTTCATCAGTCCTGAAACATTTGGCCCTCGTCGTATTAACAATAATAACAATTTCGATGATGCCATCATTGACTCGGTCAATAAAAAGTTAAATGTTACTTATCCGTCTTCTAAACATATGTACCTTGATCTTTTGTTCCTATTTAAATGTGTGAATTCATTTGATTGTAACCTTATCTTCTATTTCTCATTTAAAGTTCATGGTCGTTGTCTTCGTCAACTGATTTATTTTCTGTTCAGTTTTGTCGTGTTAATGTCTGTAAAAATGGTTATATTTTCTCGATTATCTTGTCTGTATAATGATTTTGTTACCAAATGTCCTGAAGTTGATAATTTTTCCAATTCTTTAAATATGTTTAAATGTCACCTTAATAATTATATTTCTCATTAGTGCTGTATGTTTTTAGTGTTATTTGTAAATTTTTTAAATTTTTAAGTGTTATTTAAATGTTTTTTTATTGTAATTTTAGATACTTTTTTGTAATTTATACATTTTATTTGTAAAATACTGCAATAATATAAATCATATAAATAATAATTATTATACTTTTATTTTTTATGTCTTGAGAATTTATTGTACTGATTATATTATATTTTCTATATATTTTTATTACAATTTTCGCCTGTAAGTGGGAACGAAGAGTTCCCGTTGGACAATTCTTATCTTTAAACTTCCTAAATTTATTTAAAACTTTACAAACAAACATTATCCATGCTTTTGTCATGGTGATCAAGTTTGGGTAAGTACTTTATATCAATATTTTGATATTAATTGTTTATTCATTTAACAACATACATAACGGCAATAGCAAATATCATAGGGCCTATGTACTGGTATATTTTGCTGAACAACAATCAGCTTCATCAGCTATTGTCCGTCCACTGCTGGACAAATGTTTCAGTATGTCGATGCCAAATCATCTTTTTCTCTTACTGTGTTGCACCATTTCACTCTTCCCCAATAAATATTCGATTTCATCTCTTAATTTAGTTTACGTTGTTTAGCCTTGTTCGTTTTGCCATCCATGGGGTCTGTTATTGTTTGTACTCCTGTTGCCTACATTTTTAACAACCAGAATGAAAACCACTGGGCCAAACCACATTTTTACCATTATTGTTATTAATATTGATAATAATAATATTATTTTTAATATTATTATATTTATTTGTATTCATTCCCCTTCACCCCCCACTAGCTTGGCTAGGCATTTCTACTACTGCCGCCAGTGTGTGGCTATTTTATATGGGTCGATAAAACATGAGTACCGTACGATATCTCGATAATAGTTAGCGTAATCCTAACCCTCTTCAGCGTAAGGCACGTATTTTTCGACATTAAATGTAGAATACCCTGGCTCTACTGGCTAGTCGTAGTAGTAGGCCTAGGCCCTAGATTGTGTTGTCAATGCATAGGTCTACGTACGTAGGTACGACGATAGAGCCTAATATACCTTTTATGCGATAATTTAATTACAATTTCCCTGACGAACACTGATGAATTGGCTGTAAAGATAGCCAAAATAGAGGCTTTCGACCTGCTTGAGTTCTCATTATATTCCATCCATATTTTCCCGTTTCTATTTCATACCCTCTTCGCAGCCACTGTTTGGTTCCTAGGACGTTTTTTTGGTAATCATACCCTCTTCGCAGCCGCTATTTGGTTCAAGACATCTTAACAGCCGCTATTTGGTTACTGAGATGTCTTTTTGGTAACTGCGCATGCTCGACATGGCTTGATAACGTCACTTACTTCCAAGCGCATGCTCACTGTGTTTTTAAAATTAATTCATGGACGTTATTTAATAACTGCGCATGCGCATTTGCCTAGTTCGGAATTCCACTTCTTCATAATAAAAGCTACCGCTACCTACTGTTTCTTAATGACTATTTCCTCTTGATCGTTACAGAATAAAGGTGCGGCGTAGCACCCCTTTTTTCTATCCTGGCGTTGTCTTAAGTAACTTAATTAGGTCATGAAAATATATATTTATTATATTAAGAGTTATCTCTATAAAATTTAGGCCCAAGTTAATTTAAACTATATTTACAATGTTATGGTGACTATTCCTGTGGAATTCTGCTTTTAAAATATTAATTTTCTAAATTTGACATGTTTTAAATTTTTCCCCTTATCCAGCTAATTATATTAAGGCATATTTACAATGTAGTGAGGCCCTTCCAAATTAAAAAAAAAAAATTATTCTTTTAAAAACTCGGATTATCTATGAACTTTGACCCTTATACATACATACATACATACATACATACATACATACGCACATACGCACATACGCACATACGCACATACGCACATACGCACATACGCACATACGCACATACGCACATACGCACATACGCACATACGCACATACGCACATACGCACATACGCACATACGCACATACGCACATACGCACATACGCACATACGCACATACGCACATACGCACATACGCACATACGCACATACGCACATACGCACATACGCACATACGCACATACGCACATACGCACATACGCACATACGCACATACGCACATACGCACATACGCACATACGCACATACGCACATACGCACATACGCACATACGCACATACGCACATACGCACATACGCACATACGCACATACGCACATACGCACATACGCACATACGCACATACGCACATACGCACATACGCACATACGCACATACGCACATACGCACATACGCACATACGCACATACGCACATACGCACATACGCACATACGCACATACGCACATACGCACATACGCACATACGCACATACGCACATACGCACATACGCACATACGCACATACGCACATACGCACATACGCACATACGCACATACGCACATACGCACATACGCACATACGCACATACGCACATACGCACATACGCACATACGCACATACGCACATACGCACATACGCACATACGCACATACGCACATACGCACATACGCACATACGCACATACGCACATACGCACATACGCACATACGCACATACGCACATACGCACATACGCACATACGCACATACGCACATACGCACATACGCACATACGCACATACGCACATACGCACATACGCACATACGCACATACGCACATACGCACATACGCACATACGCACATACGCACATACGCACATACGCACATACGCACATACGCACATACGCACATACGCACATACGCACATACGCACATACGCACATACGCACATACGCACATACGCACATACGCACATACGCACATACGCACATACGCACATACGCACATACGCACATACGCACATACGCACATACGCACATACGCACATACGCACATACGCACATACGCACATACGCACATACGCACATACGCACATACGCACATACGCACATACGCACATACGCACATACGCACATACGCACATACGCACATACGCACATACGCACATACGCACATACGCACATACGCGCCTGGACATTTAAAATGATAGACAACAGAACTTCTGTACTCCTTAGGGGTTTGATCCTTAGTAGATATAAAATGAGAAACATTTTTATACTGCCATAAAGTTATGAATTTTACCTCTTTAATTAAGTTTTTCTTTACCTTATTTAAACATCTACGTAAAATGAACTCACCTGGTTTTCCCAGATAAGGCAATCTAACCCAAATCTTAATCAAGCTATCATCAGTAGGCCTATGTATACATTTAGGTTCATTTAATTTCTTAAGTACATTATTAACAACTTTTAAAGGGTACCCATTCCAAGACATAAACTTCCTGATGTTACTAAGCTCTGTTTGAAGTTTATCAGGAGTACACAATCTGTGGGCTCTAGAAACTAAACTACGAATCCAGGAGATCTTATGGTTCCATGGAGCAAAGCTATCATAATGGACATATTGACCTGTATGTGTATTTTTGCGATATATACTCATGCTTCCTACACTGTTGTTAAATTGTAAATCCAGAAAGTGTACTGTGTCACTGTTTTCAAATGATTCAAAAGTAAAATTTATCTGTCTATGAAAAGCATTGAAGTAGCTTAGAATTTGCGGGAAATCATTGGGCTTACTAATACTAGCGTGTCGTCAACAAAACGAGTATAAAACTTAATAGTACCTGATTCAATAAGTTTAGGAACAATAGACTCTTCTAGTTCAGTCATTAAAATATTAGCTAAAACTGGGCCAAGAGGTGAACCCATTGAGAGACCATCAGTTTGTTTATAAAATTCATTATTACACGTAAATACAGTTTTAGTACAGCAATCTCTAAGTAGCTTCCTTAGCGAATTTTTCTTAAGGTTAGTAGATATCAGTTTCTTATTGTAAACCCTATCAAAAATTATATTAATTACCTTAGTAAGGGGAACATTTGTAAACAGAGATTCAACATCAAAAGATACAAAACGGTAACCTAAATTATATAAATCGTTAGGTATAGCTTTAATGCGGTCAGCAACGTCAAAAGAATCTTTAAGGACAAAGTCATTAACCGTTAGAGGGCCTAATAAGTTTGATAAGTACTTAGCTACTGAATAATAACAAGTACCGGTCGTGTCAATAATAGGTCTTAGGGGTGGAATATTATCAAAATCTTTATGTAATTTAGGTAGTCCATGGGCTCTAGCAGGCATGGTTGATACTGGACGAATTTCTTTGTATTCAGTTTCAGTTAGTTCATTTCTATTAAATAGTGTCCGGAGATAGGCTTGTAAGGAGTTAAGTTGCGTGGTTAATGAACAGTTAGATAGTTTCTTAAACTTAGTTGAATCAGAGAACAAGTTCGTCATAGATGTGATATAATCAGTTTTCTTCATTATCGCAACACCATTTCCTTTATCAGGTTTAAGAATTACATACTTATTACGTAAGATTTTTAAAGTATTAATACGTTTGGCATCACAATTAAGATTTCGGTTGTCAAAGTCAAGAAAGTTACATGTCATTGCACGAATTGAGTTCTTAATTTTGGTACTAGTGCATATAAGCTTGCTAATATGGATAATTTTTTCATTCCTGATGATGACATAATTAATGTCGAAATATTGAATCCCAACACGATGGCGTGTATTTCAATACTTGGAGTATGTATTATACTTTCTTATCTGAGATTAATCAGTGGACCTTTCAACAACTTATTAGTTTTTTCTTTCTATGCTGCTTGTCATACGCAACATGAAGAATTCTCAAGAAAAAAATTGGGCCAAAATCGATCATTTTGAAAATGATTTTCCTTTCATGACCATTGACCTCACACATCCATTATTAACTTCCAATTATTTACTATATTCACTTGTTCAGATCATTTTTAAAATCGCTATATTAAAAATCATAACATTTCAAAAATGCACAACCATCATTAATGTGAAAATTGGCTTGGGGACTTTTATATTGTACGTTGTTACATTCGTGGTTAAATCATTGTTACAATAGTGGTTAATGAGCTTTGTTACAATAGTGGTTAATGAGCTTTGTTACAATAGTGGTTAATGAATTATTACAACAGTGGTTGATTTTTGTTACAATAGTGGTTAATGTTACAACAGTGGTTGATTGTTGTTACAACAGTGGTTACTGTTACATCAGTGGTTGATTGTTACATTAGTGGGTAACACTGGGGGAAACATTTTAATTAGGCAGTTTAAGTACTGCTCAGAGTAAATTGACCGTCCCGTGGCAAAACAATGTACAGTAATTACTTTCATATTTTTGTTAAGTTACTTTGTTTTACCTTGGAACGTCCGAAGTAAAGTGCATGAACGCTTTTTAGAAGTTTTTGTATCAACATGTATTGCTCAAACTTAAGGTCTAACTTTAATTTAAAGACAATGAAAAATCTTAGATGTTTGCTACAATAACTGCTTCAGAATGTTTCTAAGGAAACCTAAGTTTTGCAGTGCCAGCAATCTTTTTGTTAATGCTGGCTTATCTTCATTTGGTGAATGCACGAGAATGTCAGTATAATAGTTTTATCACCAAATACACTTGTTACGGGCTTTAAAGATAATATTTTAAGACAGATACCTGGAATAATATGCTTTAGTGTTGAGTTGTGATGTACTTTATTTTCGCAATTAGCTGATCTAGGCCTATGATTAAGCCAGAAAAAAGAAATTGTGTTGGTCACGTTTTGGGAAAATCCAAGAAGTAGGTAAGTTGTTAGAAAAATTTTTGTTTTCAACAACCAAGAATGCGTAGAAATATGCAAATAATAAAATAATTCCCACAGGACAAATTTAATTATTATCTCCAGCATAACATTAAATTTTCGAGCCCTAAGCTTTGAAATTCTTTACCCTCCCACTTAGTTAATGTCTCCTCAAGTAAAATTTGTTCAATATAACCAGCTTAAAAACACTTCATTTTTCCTTTCCCATTTGTCCAAATTGTAACCAAAGTACAGGTATGTTTGTGTGCATGACCTAATATTATTATGCAATATATAACTGATTGACGTACCAACAGAAGGATGCAATAGTTAAGAAAATATGTATGAAAGGCCTAGGTCAACTGAACATGTTAAATCTAGAAACGTGTCAGTGCTCAATCTACTACCATGATAGAACTAGGACTGCATAATAATAATGTGTTTTCTGACAATAATACAATACTAGACTAACTGAAAACAATGTGCATAACTTTACAAGTTATTCCTAACAGATTTATTAGGTGAGTGAGGAAGCAATGATGGTGGTGTCATATGAACACATCCATAGTAATGGCAAATTAAACAAGTAAAAGAATCACAAAATATACCTTGAATTGCTATCTGTTCAGATGAAGCACCATGACCTGCCCTAGCTGAAAAAGCAATACAAATATGTACAACTTACATAATCACAAAATGTTAAAGCTGACGACCTGCTCAAATTTGCCTCAAATTAAATAGGACTTCATAAGGAAAGCTTTTCTCTCAGCTTTTAGTATTGCTTTAGTATATTAAAAAAGGCAAATACTGCATCTTTAACTTGTTCTATTGACTTTTTTAAATTGTTGAATTCCAGAGCAGTCCTCATTAAGAAAAATGACAACTATACTTTAAAATTCATTATTATTAAGTGTGTGTATATTCAAGGTCTCTTTATACAGGGTATTTTTTTCTATACCTTCAGGCACATGGCCAAGGATTACCAAGGATTAACAAAGAAAGGAAAATACAGTACAGTGTTCCAATAAGGGACAATAATATAAATCAACAGATAGCTGTTAAATTATATGTAAATCATCAAATATGGTAAATACAGTGTTCCAATAAAGGACATAATAATACATTGTGTAGCATAGATTTCAACGAAGTAGTCCTATAAATAAATGAATAAAAAAATTGTGCAATAAAATGCCTTTAACGTGCTCACCACAATTTAAATGAGGAAAACTGAAGTATTTGATTTAATTCCATGTAGCACGGTAAGAATGGACGGAGTTGGTGAACGTGAATTTGGAAGAAAGATATTCAGAGGCATAACATTTAAACATTTAAACGCTGTAAGTTGAATCTGGTTTGCTTATCGATTATTTAGTTTAAATTAGGAAAATGTTCTGTAGAATTATAAAGAATTCTACAGGTTATTTTATAGAATTCTATGAAATTCTATAGAAGCAAACTTTTTTTTTACAAATATTTTATAGCATTTCTATGGAAAGTTTCTCTATAGAATACATATTTTTATAGAACAGATATTTTCTATATAATTTGTGTCAAATTTCAAATTAAAAATAAAATATATCTAGCTGGTATTTTTTACCATTGGACAGATGCATTTGAATCTTTAAACCCGATGATGATGGTGACGAGATTGACGACAATGATCTTAACTGAAGTCCCAAATGAAGCAACTCTCTACGATGATGACTATTCATTAACTACATTGTATTAAATTACATCTATAATTTATATAATAAAAGTAATGATTTTAAAATAATATTATTAAATGTTAATTCCCTCTATACTTACTTGAATGTATAAATATTTGACATTTCACTTTTGTGACAGTGTGGCAACACACAATTAAGTGGTGCAGTCATCCTTAAACCAAGACTTTAATAACAAAGCAAACTAAAATTGACTTACATGCACCCATCACAAGACAGCTATAGACAACTGGAATAAATAAATACATTACACCATGAAATGGGAGGTAGATATCAAGTTCTTGTCTTTTACATACTGGGACTAAACCATTAACTTTACACATATAGAAAAGTTACAAACAAACACACACACACACACATATATATATACAGCCAATGATCTAACCAGGGAAAATTTGGCATAGGCCCACTCCAATGTAAAGGGGAACTGATCCCCATTCTTGGGCAACAACCACGCACCGCTACAAAAAAAGACCGGCCATATACGATGGCCTCAAATTCTAGCAAACCCTGGTCAGAGGGGTCCATAGAGGAGGGAGACCTGCAGTCATACATCTCCCTGGTTAAATCACTGACCATATTCAACATACGATAATTAATATCACTATTTACATTTATATTACAATATCATCTTCTTGATATTCTTTCTAGAGTTGGGAGGGAAGTAATTTTGTTTGGTCCTAGGTGTTTTAAGATCATTCCATTATATTTTATTAGTGCATAAAAAAAAATATTATAATAATAGATGTACTGTAAAAATTAATAATTTGTAAGAATTCTGCTTTATAATGGTACTATCCACAAAAATTGTGGTTCAGATCGCATGCCTCGCATGCATTCAGTGTCCACACTAGTTGGGTTGACCTAAGTTGATATAAGGGTATGTTCACATATTGGTGTAAGGCTGGCATAGCTTACGCAAGGACTAAACTAATCCACGGATTAAAATATCAAAAGCCAGGTTCTCACGAAAGCACTAGTATCCGGATCGGGAGCTAACCGTTAGCGCTAACCGTTAGCGTCTGCGTGAGAATGCCCGATCGGATACCGCTAACGGTTAGCAAGCGCTATCGGTTAGCAAGATGAGGGCGTTTCTATCATCAACCAATCACACGTACACGTTTACAATATACAGTTTCTTACTGGACAGTGATTCGATCATCATATTCTTGGTATCCAGATTGGGATTTTCTCGTATGAACGCACGCAAGCTAACGGTTAGCAGGATCCGGATCCTGCTAACCATTAGCAGCCGTGTGAGAACATAGCCAAAGTGTTCATACAAACAAAGTTTGGTATATTAATGCTGCTGTTAAAAATGGGAAGTGAGAGCCTCTTTCAGTACATGAGAAGATTATTACAAAACAGCCACAGTGTTATTATTTGTGGTACACGCTGTTGATGATGTTGCCCAACCTTTTACTGTCTCCGCTTTTGCCTTTTCTACTTTTTCATTGAAGGAAGTGTAGCTCATGAGGTGTAAAATGTAGGCCATGTTTGTTTGATTGGTTTTTTGTAAAATATATAAAATTAATTCGCCGTAGACAACATTATTATTGCCAGTGCTGGATTTACAATTTCTGAACTCAATTCGGTCCTGATATTCAGGACTTTCCTGAAGTCCAACAGGGTCGCTGACTTGTTAGCATTCCTGCTACACGTCCAAGCTAACAATATATTACGGAACGTTGTGTGAACAGTATTTTGTGACATACCAAACCACAACATTCACGAACGTTATAAAAACGAGTTGTATTTGCTGGGGTGTTAGTCATTGTTTAATGTTACAGTTAAAAGTCATTGTTTAATGTTACAGTTAAAATAGACTTTTCTAAACAACACAACAGTTTTAAAACCCTCAAAGAACATCGTCAACGAAAGCGACTGGTCGCGCGGTTTCCTTTCAAAACTAATCGTCATTGGTTAATCACTTCTGAGGTCAAAATAATTCAAGCATCCCTGCCGTTAGTTTCAAGGCGTTAATTAATCTGGGGTCTGCAGGTGGCGTTAATAACCCCATGGATGTGCCATTGTGAGGGGTATTTTTAACGCCACTGCCTAGTTCGCACCGTGTGTGTAAACATACCCTAATTAAAATATTAAAAATCTTTTTTACCGCCAGCTGTCATTGGTCACATTTTTTAATTCAAGGTCAACCCAGGGTCAACCTGGATACCTATAACTATAATTCATACAATCAAAGTGATGATTTTAAAATAATATTATAAACATATGTAACGTGTGATTAGTTGACAACAAGGAAGTATAATTCATCTATACTGTATTGACTTGTATATACGAAATTGACATTTCACTAGAAAAATTTAACAAAGTAAACTGAAAGATTAAAATTAACTTACATGCACACATCAAAAGGCAGCTGTAGACAACTGTAATAAACAATACATTAGACAGTGAAAGTGTATTACTTTACCAAATGACGTGTAATCATTCAAGCATAATGAAAGACTCAATTTATTCATGGTTAACTGTTAGTAGTTAATGATATGCAAAAACCATACAGGTGCCACTTTCGTTCGTATATAACACACATATTCATTCTTTGTTTTGTTGTACAGGGAAAGTGAAGTACTTGTCACAGGGCGCAGGTTGTATTCCTGATAAGTGAATGCCTGTATAAGGCCCTATAAAAAATATTATTAGTTTATCACCCTATCTGGGCAGGAAAAGTGATGAGGGAGGGAGGATTTTTTTAAATTTTTTATTTTGCTAAAGCCAAATATCACCCTTGGGTTGTTTGCTGGTGCATTGATATTCAAAGTAAAACATGATTTAGATAATGCAAACAATATTTTGTTCAAAAAATATATTTTTTCCCATTTACCATAAAAAACATGCGCGCGGGGGTATTAAACTAATATTTTTTTTATTGGGCCTAAGCCTTGGCCAGTTAATTTGGAGCTGGTAGGAACTGTGATTGAAGTACAGTATTGCTATTTTCATTTATTGCCAGCAATGGATTGTCTTGTAATGAGTGATACATAATCTTAAATTTTACTATAATAGATCATTTGTATGATATATTGATACGTTAAAGTTAATGAATGTTATTAACTAATGATTTATCTATTTTTAATTAATGAAATAGTTTGCATGATATTCATATTTTTATATATAATGTTATAAATGAAATGATTTGCATGATATACTAATTAATTTTGATGAATGAAATAGTTTGCATGATATTCATATTTCAGTGCAAACTTGTGGTTGGAAAAGCTCCTTTATTAGCTCTGCTAACAAATTAATTTATTGGTTTTGAACTGAATAATACTTTGGTTTTGGATACCAGAAGTTATTTTAATATACAAGGACAAATTTTGAAGTTGTTTGGAATGTATTTGCTGAACTTTCAAAAGGTAAAATTTGACTTAAAAATTTGGCTTAAAATACCAAAGTGAGTATTTTCTAAGCAGCAACAAGCAGGCAAACCAAACTTTCACACCTCTAGAGACCCAGCCAGCTAAACAGGTTGTTTATTTGAAGTTAGGATTGCTAGCCCACCCTCCATTGTTCTACTGTTAGTGTCTCAGGGATATCTAATTTGCATAGACATTCGCTGGGTTGAAATAAGCCCACTACAAAGAACATGATCCATATGGCATATATATTTAATTCAACGTCAGATGAACCTTTCTATGGATATACAAATGAAGAAGCCGGTATAATTTCATCTACCTTGCAACCACAAACCAATGATTATGGAAAAATAAATGCTGAAACTCAAGAAACACAGTCATCCATAACAACAAAGACCACTGAAACTCAAACAGAGCCATTGGATGCCAATATAGTCCATAAGATAATCGAAGATCTTAAGTCGATGTTTATTAGTAGAATTGCTAAACTTGAGGAGACTATCAACCAACTAAGCAATAAGGTGGATATTGAACCAGAATTCATAAGTGCCGTCCCTACATCAAACCGATTTGCTGTTCTTAAATGGAACTAACCAAGATTACACTGAACCCTCTTTTGCTGTTCTTAATGAAACTAACCAAAATAAAAAGGAACTCAATGGTGAACAATCCTCAGAGATATGTGTTATATGATATTCAATCACGTTCAATACCACCCTCTATATGTTTGGCATTATGAATAAAAGACAGTTGATACACAGCACACAGTGTAGTCGGACGTGTCTATGTCAAGCTTGGACTAATAATATTAACAGTAGTTTAACCTATAACATGGTGTCAGAAGTAAACAAACAATAAGTACAATGGATTCGCTAAGCTTTAGACCTCCAAGAGAACTCGATGTTGCACAAAAATGGAAGATTTTCAAAAACGAGTTCCACGTGTTTATGTGTGCAACGGGGCTAGACGCCAAACCCGACAAGCGGAAGGTGATGTGCTTGCTGAATTTGATAGGAGCCAAAGGTAGGACGATTTATGAAACGCTCACTTTCGACAACGAAGGGGATAACCTCAAGCTCAATAGCGTATTAGAAAAATTTGAAAATCACTGCATTGCAAAGCAGAATGAGCTCTTAGAAAGACATAGATTCTATGATCGTAAACAGCAAGCCTCAGAATCTGCCACACAGTATGTAAGCGAACTGAGGAAACTTGGTCCCCATGAGGACAGCGTTATTCGTGACCAACTTATAAGAGGCATGATCAGCGAGGACGACAGAATAAAAGACAAATTGTAAGAGGAAGATAATTTGACACTAGAAAAGGCACTAACAATCCTAAACATGTACGAAATGAGAAGTAAAATGAAAGAGACAGTAGGCTTATCACACACATCAAGAATTGAGGAAAACAACGTGGCCCAGGCAAGCCTAGTTTTTCTCGGAACAGTTGGCGCGGACGCAGCAGCCATCAAACGCGCGGATGAGGAGCTGTTCATTTTCAGCGTTACCAAGCAACTAAACAACCGTGTAGTAGATGTGGACACTTCAAACATTATAATGATAAATGCCCAGCACTCTCAGCAGAATGTAATCATTGTCACAAAAAAGGACATTTCTCAAGAATGTGTTTCACCAAAACAAGCCATTTGATTAAAGAGGAGTCAAATTGTGATGACGAACAAGAACTATTTATAAATACTGTTAAGGTCAATGTCAACAATGCTAACAGCACCAGTCAGAATGTGAAAGACTGGCGCATTATGTCTAAAATAGAACATAAGTCAGTAGAGTTTAAACTTGACACAGGTAGTGAGGTAAACACTATGCCAAAACATGTATTTGATGTTATAAATAGTAAAGTGAGAGTGAAACCGACTAAAGCCAAAATAGTAGGATATTTTGGGCATAAAGTATATCCATATGGTAAAGTGACACTCCAGATGGAGTATAAAGGAAAGTATTATCCTACAGAATTTATAATTGTAGATGCAGCAACTCCTATTATTGGCCTAAATACCTGTGTAGAATTAGGTTTGATTAAGCGTATAAATGACATCAAAGATGACGATAAATGTGTAAACCCATCAACAATCTTGCATGAAACCAAATACAAACCAGTGTTTAGTGGGTTAGGCTGTATTAAAGGTGCAATGTATGATGCTAAAATGGATGAGAGTGTCGCCCGTGTCGTACACCCACCACGTAGAATTCCTCAGCCTATGATGAACCGGCTTAAAGAAGCATTAGAGAACTTAGTTAAAAAAAACGTTATCGAGCCTGTAACAGAACCAACTGAATGGGTTATTTCCTAGAGACTTAAATAAGGGTATCATGCGCGAACATTTTCCTATGCGCACTGTAGAAGATGTTGCAGCCTGCCTTGAAAGCAAGTCTGTATTTTCTGTCCTAGACGCAGGGCAAGCATTCTACCAAATACCAGTTTCAGAAGCAACATCGAAGTTGCTTACGTTTAATTCCCCGTATGGCCGTTTTAAATTCAAACGCATGCCTTTTGATATTTCATTGGCACTTGAAGTGTGGGAACGTATAATTACCGAGATGTTCAAAGACATCAAAGACGTAGAGATAATCCGCGATGACATCTTTATCGCAGGTAAAGACATAGAAGACCATAACAAAATTCTCCGTAAAGTACTTGATAGAGCTCTAGAAAGTGGCTTAGGCCTGAACTTAGAAAAATGTAACATTGCAGTAAAATCTGTAAAATATCAAGGTCACATATTTTCCGACAAAGGTGTTGAAATTGACCCGGAAAAGGTTAAAGCAATACAGAACTTCCCCAAACCCACAAATGTTGAAGAATTAATGCGATGGCTTGGTATGGCAACAAACGTTGGCAAATTTATACCAAATTTATCTGAAAAAACAGTGCCATTAAGATTATTGCAACAAGAGAAAGTTGCATGGCATTTGGATAAACCCCAACAAGATGCATTCGAGCAATTAAAATGTGACATTGTGTCAGCACCATTACTTAAATACTATAGTCTAACTGATCCGATAACAATATCAGTTGATGCGTCACGATATGGCTTAGGTGCCTGTTTATTACAGTCTGATAAAGTAGTAGCATATGCATCACGTAGTCTCACTGAATCCGAAAAGAATTATGGACAAATCGAAAAAGAGATGTTAGCCATAACATGGGGTTGTAACAAGTTCCATGATTATATTTATGGATGTACAGACGTTACTGTGGGAACAGACCACAAACCGTTAGATTCGTTATACAGAAAACCATTACACACAGCACCACCACATATACAGCGAATGATGCTTAAGTTGCAAAAGTACACATTTAAAGTTAAATGGCGTAAGGGCAGCGATTTGATAATTGCCGATACTCTTAGCAGAAGTCCAATAGTAAACGTAACAGATGAAGAATCTGACATAGACGAATATGAAGTCCATACCGTTAGAAACTTACCGATCAAAGACATTCGCATGTTAGAATTAAAAAAAGAAACGAACAAAGATTCAACCCTTGAAATGTTAAAATCATATGTTAAGAATGGATGGCCAGAAACTAAATGTAAGATTCCAATAGAAGTTAGACCATTTTGGAACATAAGAGATGAACTGTATGACAGCTCATAATACAGAAATGTGCGAAAACTGTAGTACGTGTGCACAATTTAAACCCAAGCAGCAAAAAGAACCAATGACATTAACTCAAACTCCAGTATGCCCATGGCAAAAAGTTGGTAGTGATTTGTTTGCATTTAAAGGTAAAACATATGTGTTACTTGCTGATTACTTTTCAAAGTTTGTTGAGTTCACTGAATTGTCACAAGACAGTACTAGTTCAACAGTGATCAAGTTCTTTAAAGAACAGTTTGCCAGACATGGCATCCCAGAACAACTAATTTCTGATGGAGGCCCTCAATTTAACTGTCAAGAGTTTAGTAGTTTCTCCAAAGAATTTGGGTTCGAGCACGTTATGTCCTCACCTGAATATCCACAAAGCAACGGCTTCGCAGAAAGCCA